AATGAAAAGATCCGAAATCCATGTGAATCTTTTTTTTTTCTTTATAGGACAAGTCTTTTACCTGCACTCTCTTCATGCCCTTTGAAGAGTTTGAGAAGATCACCACGGGAGATGAAGTCATTGAATTTTTCCACAAATACTTTCCTGATGCCATACCATTATTAGGAGTGTAAGCGACTTCCTCACCTCTACCTCTCTCACACTCTTCCCTCCCCGACTTTACCGTTTCATCCTCTTCTGCCATTATTTTCCCATCCAACCAAGCCATGCCATCCCCGGAATATTTCCATCTCATCAACTCCACCCAGACAAGCACAGCCCGTGAAGTGTGAAATTGAAGTCTGACTCTTACATGTCTTTTGTGCCACCCAGTTTTAATTGAAGGTGAAGTGTTTGTTGTGGCTGACAGATATAGAAAGCACGAAAGCATGAGCTCCACCAACGCTCCGGGCTTTCTCTCACTCACCGGCTTCATTTGGACCATGGGGAGCAAACAACTGAATGTGTGCTTTAGTTCCTCTGCCTGGCTCGTTCATTCCACAAACAGTTGTTTTAGCTTACTCAGATGGGATGACGATGCAGTAAAAGCCAATACAACCCATGTGACCATTGTTTACAAGAATGTCGCTGTGCAAGCAAACAGACAAAATACAAGTTCAATAATATATTTTTTTTCCATTTATATGTCCCAGTGATGCTCTCAAAAGAGATTATTTTCGATTGCCTGCCCAGGCCATGGTGTCCGTCAAGTGCTCCCCATATCACATTGGGGACAAATGTGTCCTTATGGGCGACGCTGCGCATGCAGTGGTGCCTTTCTACGGACAGGGAATGAATGCTGTAAGTGACACCGAGGGAATGGACGCATAGTAAAGGAATACAAATATAGATTTTTTTTTCAGCCGTTTGTTTTGTAGGGGTTTGAGGATTGCATTGTCTTTGATGAAATCATGGAGCAATTCAATGAAGATTTCAGTAAGTGCACGTGAGATGCTCAACGGTAGGGGGGATCAGTTCCAAGGAAAAGTTTTACGGCTGCTTTGTGCACAGGTGCTGTACTTCCCGAGTATAGCAGAGTGCGGGTTCCGGATGACCATGCGATCGCAGACCTGGCCATGTACAATTACATTGAGGTAATACTTGTTTACGTATGACATCATACTTTAAAATGTAACACAGCTGCGACAAAAGAGCTGGTCAAATGGTGACCAGGGGTGGTGACTGGCTGGATAGGGGTGGGAGAATATTGAGACATTTATTCACATGACCGATACTGTGAAGGATCCCAGGCAGCCCGCTGGCATTATTTAGTAATTTTGCAATCAACACTACATTGCGAAGCAGTGTAATACCAAATAGCCCCCTGCTTTCTGATAATGAAAACTGAACTCATTAAACCATGAAAAAAATAGTTGCAATTTGTTCTGTTGCTCTTTAATGAACTTTTTATATTCAAGTCAAATTGTCTTATATTCTTTATATTGCACTTTTAAGCTTTACGGAAGGTAATGGAAACAAATGTTGGCTCATCTCTGAGTGCAACTACGGCACAAATCAAAATATATAGTCACCATCAAGCTTTAATCCAAAGTAACTTTGTTTAAAACAGTCCTTCTATACAGATAATGATATTCTGTTGTCATCTGGGGAAACAGCAGATGTTGCTAAAGTGGATCTGATTTATGGTAATGAATCTAATGACTCTCTATGCTAATTTGTGCAAAGCATATCTTGGAGACGGACTGCAAATGATGTGAAATTTTAAATAAGGAACGTGAATACCAACTGACTCAAACATTGTGAAAATGATGGACACTGAATATATGACAAAGAGGAACTAACTTCAATGAGACTTGATGACTGAAATAAGCCTCATCTCATTTTATTCATCAATTTGCACATTCTCAACTCAACTCAACTCAAATGTATTTATAGAGCACTTTCAAACAGCCATCGCTGCATACAAAGTGCTGTACATGGAGCAACTAACATATACAACAGTAAAGCAAAGCAACACATCAGTAACAAAGACGGTAGAGAGCACCAAACAGTATAACTAAGATCATAATTTGGGTCATGCTGAGTCAAATGCCAAAGAATACAAGTGAGTTTTGAGGCGGGTTTTAAAGATGTGCAGCGAGGAGGCTTGCCGAATGTTCAGTGAGAGGTCATTCCAGAGAGAGGGACCAGCAACGGAAAAGGCTCGATCCCCTCTGAGCCTCAGTTTATTTCTTGGTACTTCTAATAATGTTTGGTCCGCAGACCTGAGGCGCCGCGCAGGTGTGTAGGGGCGGATGAGCTCAGAGAGGTAAGGTGGCGCGAGGTCATTTAGAGATTTGAAAACAAATAATAGAATCTTGAAAATAACTCTAAAATGTACAGGGAGACAGTGAAGGGATGCCAGAGTAGGAGTTATGTGCTCCCTCTTACGAGTACCAGTCAAGAGGCGAGCAGCGGCATTCTGGACCAGCTGGAGGTGCTTAATGGAGGACTGGCTGACTCCAAAGTAAAGGGCATTGCAGTAATCGAGCCGGGATATGACGAAGGCATGAATTATGAATTATGAATTACTGTCTCAAAATGTTCTTGAGACAGGAGAGGTTTTACTTTCGAATTCATGCTCTCATAATGTAGGCCTCTGTTTCTGTTATTCGTGCAGATCGTAAAAGTGACAATAAGCGGTCCCTTAAAGAACACAACTGGATCCAAAATTAAATTTCTCATGGATTTAAATGATTAGAAAAAAGTGTTTACAAACCCACTTGCTGTCTGTTTTGCAGATGCGAGCGCATGTCAACTCCAAATGGTTCCTTTTTCGAAAGCATGTTGATAACATCCTCCACTTTCTCATGCCAAAGACAATCATCCCACTTTACACCATGGCAAGTACAAAATATAAAATATCAGGTGGAATTCTATGTGCACTTTCATTCCAAGACCAAATAATCAGCATTCTTTATTTTCCTCCACCCCTATCAGGTGACATTCACAAGAACACGATACCATGAAGCTGTGAATCACTGGCACTGGCAAGACAAAGTAAGAATGAATTCCATACACCCTCAATTTATGGCACCCACTGATAGACTCCGCACCTCAATTAAGTACTGGATGTGTGGTGACAATTAAAGTGCTTCACATCAAATGGGCGTATAGAAAAAATGATGGCGCTTCTTGGGTGGCTTTAATTACCTTTCCTATAGTCACTTTTGTGCCTCACAGTACATTTGAATTCCGTAGACTGCACCCCAGTTCGCCTCGGGCGTGTAGCTGCATGGGCTCTGTAAAGAGCTCAGGCATCTCACCAGTGAATTCAACAAAGAACAAAACTGTGGCACAGTGTTGCGTGTGCGGAGAAAAAAAGACAAACATAATTTTCTGCCAATACTTCTCCCTTTTAGTAGTATTCCAAATTGGAACACACAGCAGCTTGGGTCATGCCATTGAGGAAATTAATACATTTGGACGCAATTTCAGGAAATTCAGTCGTGTTATATTCTAGATACACCCTGAGATGGGAAGAGTGTGCGTGTATTCAAACATCTTGGCACTCAGCGCAGGAAACATTTCAGGGAGTAGATGTGCATGTCACCTACATTTGCACAAGTCAACTGTTTGAGCTCATCCTTACTTGATGGATGCCAATAGATGAAACAGGGATATATCTTCCCTTTTGTAAATTGTTTGATCTCGTAATGATATGGACATAGGGCTGAATGACTAAGGCTCTATATCACACAGAATGTAGGTTTTTTTTAACCTCTTAGGCGTGTTAGAATGCTAAATTCCTCGTCCCAAAACACCCTCAAAGTAGTGTTTTCCTGCATTCACCCATCTCTGAGCATTCCTGCTCCTTCCTGCTTTCCAAGCACACAAGCGACACTCTAGATTGTCCCAAGGTGTGATAGTTGTTCATCAATGTGTGCCCTGCGATTTTCTGGCAACAAATTTGGGGTGTACCCCACCTACTGCCCAAAGTCAGCTGAGATAGGCTGCAACACTCCCGCGACCCCCGTGAGGATAATCGGATGAGAAAATGGATGAATGGATGGATGGATTGAATTGTAATGTAGCCCTTCACATTAATCGGCCCCCTAGAAGTACAGTAGTTTTCACTTTCAAGAAGGTTGATGACCCATGATGTATAAGGATCTTCCAAGACAACACAGATGGATTAATGAATAAATGCATAATATGATTCCAGTCCCTGGCATTTTTGCAATAATACGTTTATGATGACTTCATGATAATGATGTCATACGTACGAAACTTGATGTAAATTTTGTAATGTTCAAGTACACCTCAAACTAAATCGTGGGTACTACATTGGGAATATAAAATTCAGGAATAGGCACAAAGTTTAGCCTAATGATTTGAGTATGACACTGTTCATATTTTCATGAAAATGACATAAAGGGATTCAAAATATAAATATTGTACTCCTTATCCTATATTTCTTTTTCAGATGATAAATCGGGGCCTGTTATTTGCTGCTACAGGAGCGATTTTGGGAGGCTCTTTCCTGTTCATTAAAAATCCCCCACACATCAACAAGTTCAGCATCCCCACTGAGAAAATATGGAACAAGCTTGCGGCATTTTGGACCTCCTAAACACTTGGCAACATCTCTCACATCTGACTGCAGCAATTAAAACCTCACTTGCAGTGATAAATGTATTGAATCAAACTGTGTTCATGGAGACGAATTAAATCACGCTCAATTAAATTCATTATTGTGAGTCATTATGTGGAAATGGCATTGATTAGAGCTCAGCCAGTGCAAATTGTCAGATTTGATGACTTTTTTGGAATTATTTGAAAAGAGTAATTATTATGAAACAAAGGCTGGATACAAATACACAAATTGTCACCCTCTTTAATAAGGACAGCCTCAGAGATATACCTTTACCCGTCACATAAAACTCATGATTTACTGTATATATATATATATATATATATATATATATATATATATATATATATATATATATATATATATATATATATATCAAAAATTTTAGCTCAGAAGGTGCACTCAAACAAACACTCTCTGCCTTGACTTGGAAGGATTCATCCGCAGCTCTGTTGTCATGGTGATGTCGTCCACATCTTCAAATTCAAGGTCCCCTTGATGACCTTTCGGAGCTCGGAACGAGGGGAAAAAAATCATATGGAGCCAGTTTGGGTGAAGAGAGAGGTTGTTCGATGTTCTTCTCAGTCAGAATACTCAGAGCAGTGTGAGCAGGCACATTGCCATGGTCAAGCTGCCGCAACTCTCTCTTCTTCTCACACATTGAATGAAGCAAATGGCAGAACACCTCTTTGTAGATGTCCTGGTTGATGACATACTGTATGTATATAAAAGCATGTGGAAAAACGTTCATTGACCGTAGTCTGCTGAGGTAACAGTTATACAGTGTACTTCAAGGTGATTCGGTTGAAGGTGAAAAAAAAATAGTTTCTATACATACAAATAGTTTCTATACAGCATTGTTTTCTGACACACAAAAACAACTCTTATGCCCACAAGAGGCTTTCAAAGAGCCTCAGAATTCAATTCATCAACCTGGTATGTCATTCAGCATTCAGCACAGAAAGTTATGAAAGGAATGTCTGACGACACCTTGAGGTGCAAGTCTTCTCTCATCTTGTATAATGTACACAGTCCCCCTCATACATACTGTATAATTCTGCCACTTTCAACAGTGTTGGCCTTATTCACACTGGAGAGATTTCAAATGAAAATACTAAAAGCATGGGAGTCAGGTCATCAAAAATAGTATCTCTTTATTGAAACAATGTACACAGTTTATTAGTGTTGTGCTGGCATATATGACTGAAAGCAAAGGCTGATTTTATATCCAATTGCTAAACCATAGTTTAACTCAATTGCTGCTTGACAAAGACCTACACTTCACACTAAATGGCAAGAAAAAAGATGGATGCTTTACAGCACATACGTTATATATTATCACAGGTTAGGAGAGTAAAAATGTTATACCTTTATTTTTAAATCCTGCCATGTGTCTAAAGTGTTATGGGGATATGATGAACTTGCACAGGATGAAGATTTCTGAAAAAGCCCAAGTGAAGATGTTGATTTAGTTTCATATATGCCAGGTCGTAAGGCATATTTCCGCACAGGATGAGAAGTCGAGTCTTGGGGGATTACAGCGGCCTCACTTGAATGACATTCACAGAGGACTCTGCAGGGGACGTCACGTCGAAGCGGTGGAAATCATCACTGGTAATGATGAAGACGATGGAGGAGGAGCTGAAGGTCACCCTCTTTTTGGGTCTCTTTCTGCTGCCGCATGAGCTTGAAACAACAATGGGCTTAATAGGGCGCTCGACCGGAGCCAAGGGGCGCTCTTTGAAGCTGTGCTGCAGCCAAGACAACCTTGAGCACAGCAGCTGCAGCAAACAGCGTCGGAACTGTGAGGCAAGGAGGAGGAAAGGGAGGAACGTCTGCTGCTTAATGTGACAATGACATTCACCCCCCTCATTTGTATGCCACGCACATCAGACATCTCTCTTTAAGATAACAAATGAAAGTGACAATTTCCCACCCACATTCCATTGTGCCTGTTTACTTAAAACATTTGGTGTACTCTTGTTTTCTGCGTCAATCACAAGTCGGGAACAAACACCCCTTTCGATGAAATGACATTGATTTGCTCTACTTCAGTGGCATAGATGACGTCGGGTTGGTGGGTTTTGTAAACCCGCTGGCCCTCTTGTGCTCAAACTTTTTTAATGTAATGTTACGGCAGTTGACCCTGGTTGAGAGGATATGAGCCCCCCCCCCCCCCCCCCCACTACTGACCCATGCGTCTATTGAATGTGATTGGCTCAGACACTCAGACGGCAACGGTTATTTTTCTGGAGAAAAAGCAAGGTAGAGTACATATGTAATTGCAAAGCTGCTTAAAAGACAGAAACCGCCAGAAAAGGAGATGTGTGGTTCAGCGAAACGGAGGGCAAAAAATTTAAAAAAAGTTAATTTAGAATGCGGCCAAATGCACAAAACTGATAAATCTCTTATGTCGTGGTGGGAACAACCAGGTCAGGGACGACGCGGGTCCGAGCAGCAGCACGGCCACAGCAGGTAAACAAGTACTGTCTGGTGTAACACGGCGCTGTCATGATTTCAGAAACTAGGTGTGTCACTAGAACCCACACGACCGGTAATCTGAAAGTAACCGAACCTGGATGCGCTCCAGCTGCTTGGCGTGGCCACAGTTACAGTTGAAGCCCATAAGCAGAAAGACACATGTGTCTTTCTCCGGTCAGTTGTCATGGGGACAAGACGCGCGGATGGTGGTGCGCATTTAGATCATAATACATCCTTGGTTTGGAGCAGAGACAAAACAGCTCATAACATTCAAACCTGGACACTTAAAAGAGTGTTCACACGGCAACTTTTACTCCGGTGTAGCACCGGGGCTGCCCCCCGTAGAGCGTTCACACGTACAAAGTTCTACCGGTGTAGCTCCTGAAAACAGCTTAAACCGTAGAAAATTTAACCCTGCTTTAAAAATTTAAATGATAGTTTGCGGGGCAGCACCGATATAAAATGGGACGTGTGAACGCTACAGGGGGAGACTCGCTACACGTAAGAAGAGTTGATTACATACGGGTATTGCATAACTTGAATCCTGGATATTTAGCACTTCTTTCCTTTCTCTCTCTCATCCTTTTACAGTGTCTGATAGACCACAGCGTTGATTTGTCTGGAGAAGTATAAACCATGGTTTTTCGATATGTCACAAACAAGGCGGGAAAAAGGAAGTACACTTTAAGCATGCACATGTTATCGTATTGCACGGTCGCAGAAACTGCCATGTGAACGCAAGTGGGGCTGCACCAGGGTTAACACGCTTCTCTTTAGTAAACAGCTTTATACGTGTGAACGCTCCACAAAATTTACACCGGTGTAAGATATATCGCAACAAAATACATCGGTGCAGCACCGATGCAAACATGTGCCATGTCAACACCCCTCTTGATTATTCTTTCACCAATTTTTTATCAAAAGGGTTCACTCCCTCTCTTGTGTGCTTGCTGATGTGAAAAACGCCCTCGGTGCTGATAATGTTTGAAAACAGGTGACTTTCTTAACCCGGCTTTTACTTTGAAGGGAGAATTGCAAAATTTCTGTTGAATTTAGCTTGGAATTGCCAACATGAAATGTAGGTTTTCTAGATCGACTAGACCAGCATTACTTTTAAAGGGAGGGCTCCCGTTAACGATGCTGTTGAGACTATGCTAGGATGAAAAAAAGAAAAATAAAGTTCTAGGATCAGTCAAATTGTGGCAGAAATGCAAAGTTCTGAACTGGTTTATTTTGTATTTTTTTCAATAGCCCTTTTTGCTGTCATGCAGCTGCACTTTTATGTTTACTCAAGTTATTAGATTTCTAGGCCTAGTGGGGGAATGGCACCTTGAGTTGTTTTTTGGAGCCAAGTTTTATTTTGTGGGTGTTTGTATTTTCTGTTTGTAAAGGGACTGGGGACAGAGTGGGAATGGATGGCAATAATACAAAGCAGCTATTGCAATTTTCATCACTGTCATGGTCTATTCCCGACTTAATTATTCTGTACTTTTTTGGGGCTTTTTTCACTCCTTGATTTGCGTGTGCAATGTCGGGCCCCTTTGACCTCAAAACCCATGTGGAATACAGCCCAGCTCAAAACCCAAGTCTCTGGAAAGGGAAATTAATCAGGAAGCGCCATAGCTCATCTCTCGCACACCGAATAAAGTATTCAATTATAATGATACCACACCATTTGGGGGGCTCTCATTCCAGAATACAAATTTGCTCCCACACAATGACAATTTATATAAATTGCTGAATACACGATTACCAACCTTTATGCTCATGAATACATAGATGAGGGGGTTGTAGGCTGTGCTGGACTTGGCAAAGAAGGAGGGGATGATGGCCACAGTGGGCGAGACCATGCTCTTTCTGCCAAAAGCCACCATCATAGACACAACAGCGTAGGGAGTCCAGCACACCAGGAAACAGGAGATCATGAGGAGAAACATTGCGGCGACCTTCTTCTCATATCTCAGGATCTTGATGATTTGAACAGTCTGAAGATCCTGGATGGTGCGCAGCTAATGAAAAGAGAACAAAGAGCAGGAATCAGTTCATTTGTGGTTAGGATTTGCACATTTGCCTTATCATTGTGTCGGGCTTGCTCACTGTGTCCCCAAAAATGTTACGATATAAGCATGAATCAGAATGGTTGTCTGTCTTTACTGCACATGCTGTCCATGTGATTGACAGGTGATCATTTTTCTTACATTTTTTAATAATGCATAATTTCAGCTTTTTTTATCCATCTAGTCATTACTAATTAGAATCTATATTTTGTATAAATGCGACAACTTGAGGTGTGTTGTGAGGGTGGAAAAAAACAACACCTTTTTTAAAAGACAAATAAAGAAAAGGAAAAAAAAACATACCGGTAAAGACAATGATACTGATAAACAAAACAAATACTGTCTGTCAAAGTTGCCCTTTTTTCTTTCTTTTTTCTTTTTTTTATTACCTTTCTATGAAACACTCAGTATGGAGGTGTGTTGAACCTGAATTCTTCTCCATCTGTAGTGAGATTTTCCTGGCACCAAAAATACTCTGGGTTCAGAATATGTTTCTATAACCTCTTCCAATTGCTTAGGTGTGTGATGAGCTCCTCTCATGCATCTGATAGCTTCAGGGATTTAACCGCCAGTCTGGGAGCTTGCAGCCGGGAAGCGTAGTAGCTCTCACTTATACAAATTCTTAAACCATTTCCTCGAGGAGAGGAGATCTGACAGCCTCCACCTCCATTATTGCTGCAGGTGACTGATGTTTCACCACTTTCATACTTCGGCTGCCCAAACCGACAGAATTCACAGATTTGCAAGATGCCCACACAATACAGAATTCTATCAGAAATCTGCCAAGTGCTTTTAGAGGGATTATTAAGCTTAACACAAATATGTAATTGTAATCATCACATCCCACACACTTCTCCCTTTCATTACCAGGCGACAGACGAAATTAAACCCAGAAGGCACAAAAGCTTATTATTATAATAGAGCTGGAAAAGAAAGGCAGCACTTAGGGCAGTCAGTGAAGGTCACAGCTCAGGACAGCCAGCACAGGATTATTAGGAAAATGTAACACTAATTCCACCATCAGGTATAGTATATTTTTCATCAGGAGCACAGTTCATTCGCTCATGATGAAGCAACTACTCGACAAAGACTTTTTATTCATGGCATTGGATCCATTTTCTTTGATTGATTTTGGGGAAAATTAACAATTATTTAATTCAATACTTTACGACCGGTACTTGCAGCGAAGAGCACTCCGTTTTGCCTCAGTTGAGACAGTTAATATTATTAAGCCCATCTTTGTCTCATCAAAGGGGACTCGCATTTTCTCATTTTTGAATCGTCTGGAAATTAGCCTTGACAACTGCTTTTGTATCAGCAAGTTAAGAATGCAGTTGAAACTGGAGTCAAAAATTGCTGACGACAGTAGCTGCAAACTTGTCACTTTAAGCAATTAGAAAAGTAAAACCGCCTCATATGCTTGCAAGCGTGATTGCAAAAAGGAGTCTTTCAGCAATGCCTCAATGACTCTACCTGAGGAGAGCACAGACTTCTGTCAAGGCTTAAGTTTTTAAAGATGAGGGGGAGAAAATGTGTCGAGTGTGTGTTTGACTGTCTGCTTTGTTGGTTCGCAGATTACTTACTTCTTCATGCAGGATGTTGAACTAATGGGTTGTGCCATTATGCTTTTGATAGGGGGATAGGTCAATTTTTGCCATTGAGACTCAAACTGTGAAAATAAACACTTATCTGCCCCTTTATGCAGTTCCCCTTCAAAATAGAATTAATTCTTCCTTGACCACCCCTCCCAAATGTTTTGAGGGATTTTTTTTTTTTACCTGGTGAACTGCATCTATCATCACAACAACAAAGCAAGTGGATGTCTGCACAATACTCGAAGTAGTGGCACGGTCAGTGAAAGCCCCTTGCAAGACAGGTTAAAAGAGAGCATTTATAAAAATATGGAGAGTTCATGATAATACAGATCACTCATAAGAAATGTGATGGTGGCCATTTATCTAATTACTTATTTTCACCTTGGAAGGAAATTAATTTTCATGTTCCCTTTACATGAATTTGGATGACCTCATCTCACTCCCCCCAAAAAAATCACAATGGTTATTCTGACTCATTCATAATTGACGCTGTAGTATTACATCAGATTACAAAAAACCCCCAACATATTTACTAACCATTTTTACTGTATAGAGGATGTTTCCGTAGCAGTAGATCATGATGCCAACAGGTACGAAGAAACAAGCCAGGAGGAAGAGAAGTATGAATGAAGCATCATTTGGGTCCTTCGATGCCCAGTCCAAGGAACATCCCAGCTGGTGGATCTCCAGTGTGTAGCGGTTCCAGCCCAGGAGAGGAGCCCCAGTCCAAGCCAGGGAGTAAAGCCAGATGTGGGCAATAGAGCGCCATGCCCAGGGAAAGTCTACCACCTGGGCATGGACCACACGGATGTATCGCTCATAAGCCAGCGCCGCCAGCGTCATGATTGATACAATGCCTGACGATAGGGGAGTGACAGACCAAAAGTTAGCATGTGTGGTTGGTGTCTCGGTGTAAATTCTTGAAACCTCACACATTTCTGGCCTATATTTCTATTGCACAGCTTCTATTTTCAGTGAGTGCCATCATCGATCTGCCTGGCATGGTTTCATAAGAGAGTATCTATCAATCGATCTATCGATCGATTGATCTATCTATCTATATCAGTGGTCCTTAACCTGTGTTTGATCAAACCCTAGGGGTTCGGTGAATCGTCTCAGGGGTTCGACGGAGCCTCTGCCATGTCAGTTAAGACATACCCGAGTCAACGTGTCGATTAGTTATGACACACCCGCTTGGCCATCATTGGCTGCAGATGATCATTTTACATTGCTTGTCCAATCAGTGCTGCGGGAAATTTAGTTCGCTCAGTAGTCACCGTGTGACTGTTGTGATAGTACATCATACAATTTTTAAAAACTATACTTGGGCCATGTAATTTTTCACTAATGAACGGTTCGCTGAACGTGCATATGAACTGGTTGGGTTTGGTACCTCTAACAAGGTTAAGAACCACTGATCTATATCTATCTATCTATCTATCTATATATATATATATATATACACACACACACACACACACACACACACACACACACATACAATTACATGCCCTAATACCCTTGTCAAAGCTGTCATAATTCATTAATCCTTTCATTGATGAATGGTAGGCTGAGTCAACGTCAATAATTGGACAGACAAGCTTTGCAGGGAGTTGCCCGAGTACATCTTCCCACATAAAATTTCAGCAGCATGGACATGTTTCGCCAGACGTGACAGCCGTTACTGCTGCAGCTCCCCTTGTTTGCCTCTGTGTCAGTCAACAATCTCCACTGAGTAATTCATTGGATGAGGTGCAAGGAGAATATGGCATATTTGTCAACACAGGACATGTTTCCCTCACTTGGAAGGACACTGAAGAAGGATGGCAGCTGTATTTTTGTGTGGGCCAAATCTACAGGACATTTCAATGTCACTACATTGAAGACACACGCAATTCATTTGATGAAAAATGTAAATTAGAGATCCACTTTCAACCAGCCAATTGCGAGCCTAGCTTCTCATCCCTTTCCGTGTCTATAATACAAATCACACAGGTCTGTGTTTTCAATTATGAAGTCAAGTGGACCGTGGCTTCCATCTGTAAATTAAAGCACAGAAGAAGCAACCAGCGCGTAGCATGATGACTCTGCTAATAAATAATAGTTGTGGTAATGGGGTATCATCATACATCAGTCCTCCTCCTGAACTATAACTCCTACACAGTCTGGGCGTATTTGTCAGGATGAACCCTGTGCATGAATTCACACTTCACTGCCTCACTGGAAGCACGATGAACGTGTCTAAAGTATTCCAAGGCATGAAATAATACACTGAACGTTTCCTACATATTAACGTAACAGCTTTACTTTTGCTTGGAGCATTCTTTCGTCTAAAGATTTTGAGATGTAACCTTCTCCAATTTTCACTGAAAATTTTTTCAATTAATTATTAATATCTTGAAGGTCGTTTTCAGTGTGGCTCTACAGTGGAGTCTAAATGCCATTCACAACAAAAATTTTGTGGAGGAGGAGCTGTCACGAGAAGGTGATGATGCAGAATGAGCACCGGCTTTGACCTTCGGTTCTTTCAGATCAGCACAAAAAAACCCCCAAACAATCACAACTTGATATTTTTATGTCAAGTTCTGAAACAACAGAGCATTCTGCTCCTTTCACACACCACTAGCTTACTTTTGTGTGTGTGTGTCGATCAAACAAAAACATTTGTGAGGAACTGCTGGACAAAAAAAACATTAATCAAAGACAGGGTTTTTAATTTTGTGCGTTTTTGTGGTTTGTTAATTTCATCCAACTTGCACCATATAACATATAGCTTTCTATATGACAAGCACGGACTAGAATATTTCTGGAAATAATAAACCGAAGAGAAAATGTTCTTTAACAAATCCCTTTATAAATAATAATAATAATAATAATAATAATAATTACAAAGAGAGAGCATATTACTAATATGCGTTTGCTCCTTATGTCTAATAATTAGACAAAAGGAGCAAACGCTTGAACCTTAAATATCAGGAAAAAGAGCTTTTAGGCAAATAATACGATAAACTGTAGAAGGATATGACTCTTACCGAACAAACTGTTACTGAAGCCGTCCCACACGCATGTTGCCTGGCTCCAAATCCAGCCGCCTTTGACGCACGAAACAAATGTAAAGTTTATTCCGACGACGGAAACCAGCAAATCACTCAAACTTATGTTGACAAGTAACAAATTGGTCGGCGTCCGAAGTCTCTTGAATTTGCAGTAAAGTAGAATGACCAGAACGTTGTTGCAGAAGCCAAACACTCCAATGGTTCCGATGGCGAAGGCGAGAAGTTTGTAGGTGCCAAAAGCAAACAGGTCGCGTTCGGCGCTTTTCTCGGCTCTGGTTTCATTGTAAGGATTCATTGCGGGGATAAAAATGTGGTTTCGTGCATTGTGGTGGCTTGGGTGTGCGGCTGCAGCACGCGTCCTGCACAAAGCACGCTCCCTGACAACGAGCGCGTGATGCTCATTCAAACAAACCCAGCACGCCTCCTTAGAAATTGGGTCAATGTACAACTGTCACATGACACACATCTGTGATATTACGTATCCCGTCACAGTGAAAATGCATTTGACGTTTTGGAGAAAAATACACTGAAATGAAAAGAAGAATTAGTTATAATATTTGAGTACTTGGAAAAGATTGTCTCCTAACTGTGGACAGACACACTTAGACTGCAGTCTTATGAGATTCAATAAAATAATTGGATAAAATGTATTTTTTTTTTATTTTCAAAGACAGTGGTACGAAAAATGTGTATTGATTTGTTGTAAGTTAGTATGTATTATAGTCTTGAATATTTCTTTCGTTGATGAAATTTCACTGCTAATTTGAAAAGAGATGTGTATAATTGGCGTGTATAAATGTGTGTAGCATGTATGTTTACTTGAACATAGTCTAGTATCCGTGTGCGAGTGAGTGAACCAGTTGTGCTTTAACATTAGGCTCTACCGACATATATCATCATGCGCAGAAAAGATGACACAACAACAAAGCAAATTTTCAAATGGTCAAATTTTCATACCTTACCGGTACTGAAAAATGTGTGTGACATCTTAACTTGCCTCCATGGAAAAGTCAAAATGATGTATGGACAATTTCAGGAGAGTGGTAATAAATCTAGGTGGGCTGCAAGATGGCAAACGGAATAACGAGAGGCTGACTGATATGAGAGGTGACACCCAAAGGACCATGTGCAGTTTAACAACCATTTGAGTGTGTGGGAGATCTGTGCAAAAATGTCAGCTTCCGCATTGCGGATAGGCTGTTTCACATTCACAGGGTTTTAAAATGAACATCACAAGGACTTCTGTTGACTTTGTCGCATGTCTGTTATTTTGGTGACCTTTTGAGGAGCTCCCTCCATTCTCCAGGTGCCTCATTTTCTCCACAGTGGAAAGCCAAGTGGAAAAAGGTTGGAAGCCTGCTGTGACGTTATTTACACCCGGCCTCATTTTCATGAGCCGTCAGGTTGATTCAAAATAGCAGATCCTTCTTGAGTAACAAATAATATAGCGGCCTTGAAATAGGTGGCACAAAATCTTGGAATCACACTTACAAACCCAAGCCGACACTGGTCAGTCATATAAGTAATATGTTATCTTATTCTTAAGTGTCCTCAGTGTACTGGACGATTACTGCACTATATAATGACTACCTGCACCTGTATGTACTATACTCTATACTATAAATCTAAACTACAAAGTACAAGTTTTCTCCATCAAAAAAAAAAAAAAAACGCCTTGGAGTAGAATGCTGTTTCCCAACCTTGACTGCCATGTCTTCATCCACTCCTTGAAAGGGTCCTTCCAAGATCCTCCACAGCTCTGTTGTCATCTTATTTCATCAACCTCTTGAGTTCCATTGCGCAGTCAGCAGCTGTCCCGTCATAACTCTATGACTATGAAGCAAATGCCACACGATCTCTTAGTGGACGTATTTGTGTTTGATATTGGTCACACCTGTCCTGGAACTTTTCTGACTTGCCGATTAATCATTTTTGAGTGTTATTGTCTCCATCGAGGAGGTTACATTTTCATCCCGCTCGTTTGTGTCTTAGTTATCTGGATTGCGCTGAATCTTTATGTCATTAAAAGCAAAGATTTCATTGAAACATTAATGTTGTGTTATGCCAGCATGCATTAGTACTACGAGCTTTTTAATTTTCAGTGACTAAAACATGTATTTTTCTGGCAAAATTATGAGCGGTTGTGAAGTTGTCAGATTTGCTGCAGAGCCACACTGGACGGTTGTAGTCAAATTGAGAAACTAGCCTATTCTTTATTGAAAACGTCTTCATAATATGAACGTGAATTATGCTAATTATAATACTTATAGCATCTGTTCATCTTATTCTTTTCCCTGCATTTGCGATGAAACCCATGCCCCTTTTCTTTGGTTAATAACAGGCTAGGAATGGGACAGTTCTAGATTGACTACAGGACTGTCATTATGTGTAATCTCTGAGCAGATGCTGCCAACGCTCTTGAGAAGAAGCCTTTATAAACAAGAAGATTCACATTATGGTTTCTAAACTGAAAATGCACTGTTGGATGCTTTGGACAGTTTAATAGCAGCTTTTAAAATATGTCGACAAATCCAACACTTTGATATAATTTGGCCAGCAGGCACACACTTCTCACTTTCATTCTTCTGCCTTTGCTTGGTGTGTTTGATTCACCTCACAGAGCATATTGCAGACGTTGTGTGCATGCCTGCAGGCTTGTTCACACATTACACTTTTTTTTTTCATGCATAAGTGCACATCACCACAGGGAAGAATAAAGTTAGTAAATTTGTTGACTTGCTATATTGGACTTATTGGTGCAAATGAATGTACAGAGAATATAAAACACAGCACATCGCAATTATTGCAATGCAATGGACAGTATCTGTAGCACCGAGTGTCATAAAAATAGAGGGATTTGATTTTCAAAGAATAGTTTGCATGTTGAAGAGAAGCGCAAATTAGTTTGAAAGTCCTCGTTCCTGTTCAAATGGTAAATATGTTTTTTTTTTCCACCTCCCAAGAAGGCAATAATTCCTATGGCGGCAGTTATTTTAAATTATTAATTAATAGCTTTTCTGGAAACCAACAAATGAATAAATAAGTTAAATACACAGTCCTAAATTATAATGAAATCCGGCACAGTAAAAGCAATATAAAGTGTATGCTTGTCGGGTCCCCAAATTTCAGAAAATAAATCAGTAACAGGACCTCTGAAAAACTATTCATTTATGTGTCAATACTCCATAGTTGAAACGAAAGCTCATTCTAATTATTCATCTTAATATTTCTCTATTTGCATTCTTAACTTTGAAAAAACATTAAATTCACACAGGAGTGTGATTATATTCATCGCTTGGAGTCACTGATGCTGGTATCATTGCCAGATTGATTTTTGTTAAAAAACTTGGATTAAAATCTGCTGTGAGATGAGCAGCATGTTCGAGTCGCAGGATGTCGACAACAGACATCAAGGGTTACTCTAGTCTGAAATCAAATGGAGATGTAATCTTCCGCCATGTTGACACAAAGAAAATGCTTGTTTGAAACGGATGAAGACACATCTGCACTTTGCAAATGTCTTTCCTCAAGCGATTATTGAAGCTCCGAAGTGCAATCGATTAGTGCGTATTAAAAAAAATGTCACACTGTTCCTTTTTATCCGGTCCAAGTCAAATGCCATGTAGCCTTCCAAGGGCAGGCAGAATTAACATCTCATCAGTCCAAGATTGCTGTCCCAATTTTACAACAGCAAAACAAAAAAAATGTCAGTAAATTATGCAAATAAATCTTAAATGGAAGTTAACCAGTGATCATTATTTAAATGACAATGGCTTCAATAGATAATTATAATCTCCCTGCAGCCGTGATCATTAGATCACATAAAAAACAAAACAAAACAAGATTTTGTGCTATCACTGACTTCGGAACGGTCCATATTAACCTCCACCCGACTAAGGCTCCAGTTCGAGATGAAGATAAAAGACCCCAAAGCAAAGGTGCTGCCACTACCTTGCGTCACTGTCGGTATAGTCTTCTTTTAATGATGAGCACGAGGATTCTTACAAAATGAAGACAGGCACGGATGTTTTCCGATGTAAGACTTCTGGCTTGCTGCTCGATCCAATTACCCAAACATATGAAGAAGCTGGGAGATTATTGTCAATGTTCAAAGTAGCCGGTACATGTCAGAAATATCTGCCTCTCGTTCAGTGTTTTTGTATGGAACAATAGTCTCCCTTTTGGAAGCCTCCATGATGAATTTTCATCCTGTCTTTTCATCAATTCTGGAAGCATGCAAGAGTTCTTGAGACTGTCACCATTGTGCCATATTTTCTGAACCTCAGGATTGTCTTCATTGTGTTGCCTGGTGTATAGCTGCATAACATCTTTGAAATTCTTTTGTACCATTCACCTGACTGATATCCCTCTGCTGCTGTGGAAGCTCTCTGCACACCATGGCTTGTGCTTTAGAAAAGAAAAAAATGTCAGGAAAATCAAACGAGCAGCTGAACTTTACTCGTGCTTATTCGGAAGCCTTTCATAGAACCACAATTTTTATAAAAGAGTTCTCTGAAATACACATCCTGTAATTGTTACTGTTGAAAAGAATCCCTTAATCTCAAAAGGACACTCGTCTGCAATGTGATATGACAATGGTGAGACAGATGATACATGGGGATTCATTGGCTTCAATTCCCAATGCAGAGACCCCCACATGGTTGGAAAATTTAGCCATTTGATGGGTTGAAACCAGAGAAGACCGTGAAAGGACTTTGACAGGGAGAGGCCATCCAATCCTGTCTGAGTCAACATCTCCTCACTGTGGGGACAGATTTCCTGCTTAGGTTTATTTTGGGTAAAGGTCAGGTGGAGGAATATGTACGGCCAGATATCCAGTAAATTCTGAGGAGAATTCGTGGCTTTCACTTAAATATGGCATGATTAATTGCTAATTTGATCTCAGTAGGAAGCTTTCAGTGTTCATTGAAGTTGTATGGGAATTTAAACAAATCAGTCTAATTTTGTGTTTGATTGAAAGTAATTAGAATATCTTGGTAATTTTACCCTCAAATCTAGACTTTAAAGTCTTCATTGCTCTTTTTACAACTCTGCTTTTAACTGTCTCATCACAGCTGTGCTTGATATTGATGCGTTTTAACTGCCAAAATCAGGTTATGTGCATACAAGTAGTTACTACTTAGTAGTAGATAGTCAGCCAGGGCTCCGTGCATCCACCATACTTGTATGCGTGATGTAAATGACTGCTCTTAGAATGGTCAGTGTTTTCTCATGTATATGGGACTACTTTGGTATTGGATTGATGCACTGTTACTGTGTATAATTGTCGAACTATAAACGTCAATGGACGCTACAGCTTTGTATTTGCTTTCACAATTTAGCTTGTAGCAGACGTGTGCACATTTTCAGCATGATGTCTCTGATCCACTGGTGAAAGGATT